TACGTTTTTACGTTTTCGTTTGTTTCGTTGTGTTTACTTATTACTACTTACTTATGTCGTACGTATAGTATATAGTTATTATTATATATATATATATATATATATATATATATATATATATATATATACACACACATCTTTATAGGTGTCTTTGAATTTTAATAAATCACATTAGGAAGTTAATTCATAATGACAGCTGAGTGTATAGGGTTCCACTGAAAACGCCTTGAATTTTTTTACTTTTTTACATTCTATGCATTTCACTTTCATTATTTTGTTGTAGTGATAACTTTAAAATTAGCTATGAGTCAATATTTTATAACTGATCATATAACTAAAAAAAACTTAAAATACTAAAACACGAACAACATTTCTTAGTGATCATAAAAAGGAATACATAACATTGTTGGTGAGGCCAATTACCACTGACATAAAATAAAGAAAACTTTTCAGAATTACTTGAAGTATTTTAAGTTAAAAAGTTTTTGAAAGCAGCAGTCTGAGTTAACAAAAACACACTAAAAGTGAACTATAAATATGTACATAGTAAATAATTAAATGGTATACCAAATAAAGAGAAAGAAGTTTTTCATACGAGTGTGTTAGCACAAAAATATATTTAGAGCAATCTTTTATTTTATACGTACATAAAGTTAAAGCCAAAAATAATAAGAGTTAGGTCTGAATGGAAATACCTTTGCTTTTGGTTTCTCCTTGTCTTCTGCTGTTTTGGGGCCCAACAAATCCAATACCTGCACATCCACTTCATTCTTCACTGACTTTCCATCTGCAAATTTTAGTTTCTCTCTTGCATCTCCTATAAATCAATATCAGTAAACTAAGTACTACAGATTATTGTGTAAGTTCACTTACTTGACACATAGTACAACTTAGGGAGAAAAAAAAAGCATAAAATTAATTAAAACTTTTACACATAAGAGTTTGTTTGACTATTAAGTGTAAAGTTGCACAATGGGCAATATGTGGGGTTCAAACACAATTTTAACATTTTAAATCTTCAAATTTACTACTGAGCTACCAAGGGGGCTACACACATAAGATAATTTTTATATGAACACAAGATTTGAGAGTATTTTTCTGATATTCTTTGTTTGCCCACACAGAAGTATAAGAACACATTCTGTAAGATGGTAGATAAACCAACTAGAATATTGTTCTCCATTACTTTCTTGCATTATTAAACAAGAGCATAAGCTGTGCCTACAGAATTTGAAAAATGAAGCATTATTAACAAACATTTACTATGTTTAAATGTTATACTACTATTCTATTAACATTAGGAGTAAACTTAATTTCTCTGAAAACTTTTTAGTTGATACATACTCTCGAGTGAAAAAAATCATTATAATTTAAATTTTAAAAATATTTCAGATAATCACTATCACTTGTGTAATCCAGCTTGGGTGCTACTTAGGCACTTTTTTAAAAGTTGGGTATTCTCTAGTACATTTTTGTGATTTCCATTATGAATTATTGATGACAAGAATATTGTTTAATTTTACATACATAAATGAAATATAAAGAGAGTACTTACATAAATAAATAATCCTTCATCTTACTTAAAAATTGCTTATTGTCCCATTACACTAGAAATTTCATTGTTGAACATCCTACATAAATCCTTAGTTATTGAATACTATTATGTTTATTGTTTTTAAACAATGTAAGTATGCAAAAAAAACTATTTATTCCACATCAATTGATCTCGACCAAGAAGATTGTTACCTAGTTTGACCTGATCGTGACAAGTCAATTCATAGGTTACTGATAAATCTGTCAATTTTTGCTGCTTTTTTTATGGTTTGTAGCCAGAAGTAATGAATAATACAACTAGCAAAAGAAATATGTTAAGGATATCAATCAAGTTAATATTGATTCTATATGTAAATCAGAACTTCCTGATTAACAATAAAAAGCAATGAACTTCTAAGACAAAGGAAGTATTTTTAATGTTGTTTTCAAATTATATTTTAGAAATTTCACAATAAAAAATATAGCAAAAGTAAACAAAATTGATTTTTTAAAGCTGAAACTATACACTGTTTAGTACCCTTTTTACAAAGTTTCATGGAATTTAGTTAAGTACTTCCACTATAAGAATAAAAAAAATCAAGGGATGTTAGTGACACCCTCCTTTGTCTAGAAAGGGGTAGAATATGCACAAGTTTTTATTGTTATAATACCCACTGAAAACAATTAGAAATTTAAATTATCTTCAACTAAAAATCTAATAAATACATAAGACTAACCAATCATTTTTCCCATATTAAACTGATAACGTTTTTGTAACAATTCTTCTCTATTCTTAGCAATCACTTCTTCCACCACCTTTTCTATCTCCTCTGGTGTTATTACCACCCCCACACCTGATGTTACCTCAAATTTTTCTACATCAAGAGGGTCAGCTGGATGAGACAACAAGTAATCCAAAGCAGCTAAAAATAAATAAATACATATGAGCTACAACATATTGATTCTAATGAATGCTCAATTAACAGAGAGCTAAATAACACTGTTTTTTTCAATATTTATAACCTTACTCATTTTTTAAATTTAATATATTTTAGTCTATCACAAATGTGTGTGGATTAATAAACAAATTCTAAACAAGACATAGTATCCCTACAAAAAAAAAAAAAAAAAATAATAACTTTATTTGCATTATGATTATATATATTTTATTATTTAGATCACCTGAGAGTTTCAGCTCTGAATCTAGTTTGCCAGTGGTGATGTACTCAACCAACAATGGTATTCGATGTTTGATTTGGGTTTTCACTTTGCTGGCAGTGTGATAAAGCAAGTTACCCATTGGCTTCGGTATATTCTTCTCAATATACTTTTCTGCCTACACATAAAATTGTAAATATATCTTGCATTTTATCAAATATTAAAATGGTTTTAGTCTCATGTAATCTTTACCATTTGTAGACAAAGTATTTTTAATTTTTGTCTCTTAATATATTAAGGTCAGACCTCACTTTGTTCTAATTACTGTAATAATCTCCAAATTTGCAAACTACTGACTCAAAGAGTACAAGATATTTGAATGGTTAGTTTGCATGTCAGCAAGGTATCCAATCATTAATTTAAATGCTAGCATAGCAAAAACAGAAACTGATAATTATTTTCAAATACAAGTTCCTTTGTTAACAAAAAAAGCTAAAATTTTAAACAAACATTTTCATTGAATGCTTTATAAGTACCAAGTCACAAAAACTAGTTATAAGATCAACCACAAAGATTAGTTTAACCAATGATATTTTAAAATATATATTTAAAGGTTTAATTAATAAGTTTTCCACTAAAGAATTTTATTTTGATTTTTTTTTTTTTACAAATTGTAAATTTTGTCTATAAAAAAATTTTTTGGAAATTCCCAACTTTTAAATTAAAATCAAAATATCATCTAGTTCTATAATGCTTCAATAATAAATAATAAGCTATTAACATTTGTGTAGATGCATAATGTAAATATGTTGAAATTTATGCAAAACTACTCACATATAAGGGGTTTTGGAAGTTGCAACTACAAGTAAAACATCAGTGACTCTTTGTTACTACCAGTACCAATGACTGATAATACTTACTATTATCATTAACAGACAATAATACTTGACATGTCTCTCACTTTGTTTTATTAGTCTTATCTTTACTAACACCAGAAAAAAATTTCTTACGAGTGCAAGATCTATGTAAAGTGACTACTATGATATTGTGGGATTCTTACTCAAAACAAAACTAAAATTACAATATACCAATCAATATTGTAAAACTAACTTAACCCTAGTACTAGTAATAGAATTACACTTACAGTTACACATGGATGTGGTTCCCATCAGCATTTTAAACACATTTTCTAAACTAAAGTTTATGATTTTTGGATAAAGATCCCTAATGCCAGTGATGGCATGAGTCACTATTCCAAAAAATTAACCAAAAATACAGGAAATATGCGGTTTACTTTATTTCTTTTTATAAGTTATACTTCTACTTCTAATTCTAGCAGGAACATTAAAATTATTCAATATGAAGCATCCACACAAATCAACAATATGAGGGTTAAACTAGTCAAGTCTAAGTTGACTATAGGCCTGGCACATGACTACAAATCATATAATGATTAATATGTAACCTGTAAGTATTTACAATACTTATAAGTTATATAATTCTTTAGTAACAGCAACAATATTTCAACACGTAACAGTATCATGAATCCAGGAATACGATTAATAATATACGATTCGGAGTATCATTAAAAGCAATTTAACTTAAATACAAATTCATTTTCACCTCGGCAATTGTTTCCGATAACGTTTTCGATAAGCTTTCATTTTTCAACGTCTCTTTTGCTTTTACTTCACTGAGTCCAATACTCATAAATTTTGCCACGGTGTCTTCCATCGTACCCATGCCGAATGAATTTAACTGGCTTCACAGCGACGTCTATTGGAAGTACCGAAACAAAGAATTGTGAAAGTGGACAGGCTTTACTTGGGGAAAATACAGTAATATGTTAAAAAATATTATCATGTTCATTTTTAACTAATAAAAGTTTACCAAAATATTATGATAAGTATATTTTAGACAAACGAGAATAGCAATATATAATATGGACTTTTACCAGTTTCGCTGGACACTGGTAATGAAAGATAATTCATTTGAACAACACTGTCAACAGTGATTTACTCGTGTGGTATTTTCCAGTACACGGATTTCCCGTAGAGTAATATGTCGGGTTCGTTTAACAGAAAGTCTAACGAATATCACTCTACAGCATATGAATGTTGTTATTCTACAAACTCTGACAGAGTTAATCAACAAGAAAGAGAAGTACAAAAAATGCAGAAATCAACAACATATAAATTTATAAAAATGGGCTAATAAGCTCCTTTTTGTCCCTTTAATATTTTATGAAATTTTAATCAAGGATGTTCCTTCCAGCTCCCAACAACAACCACCCATTAGCACTCATGTATCCATCCAATCTTTTTGAACTCAGTTAAATTTTCTGCCTCCATTAACCTTGAAGGAGCTCATTCCAAAAACCAGTCACCCTTTTTGAAAAGTATGCTCGCTTGTCCTATTGTTTTCACTGCCAAACACAAAAAACTTCGATGGATCTATATTATCAGTACCCTTAATAATCTTAAACATCCCAATTAACCCCCCCCCCGGCTCTTCTCCTCTCAAGAGAAAACAAGTTTAGAGATTTTAGTCTTTCCTCATAGGACAATCCCACCATTCCAGGTATCATCCTAGTGACTCTTCTCTGAACCTTCTTCAACAATTCGATGTCCTTCTTGAGGAAGGGAGCCCAAGACTGTACACAGTACTCTAAATGAGGTCTTACAAGTGATCTATACAATCAAATAATAATATCCCTTGTCTTGTATTCAATATTTCTATAGACGTTACTCAAAATCCTATTAGCCCTATTGCTAGCTACAACAC